GGGAGATTTTAGCGAGTCCTAATGTAGGAAGATTATAGCGAGTCCTAATGTAGGAAGATTATAGCGAGTCCTAATGTAGGAAGATTATAGCGAGTCTTAATGTAGGAAGATTATAGTGAGTCCTAATGTAGGAAGATCATAGTGAGTCCTAATGTAGGAAGATTATAGTGAGTCCTAATGTAGGAAGATTATAGTGAGTCCTAATGTAGGAAGATTATAGTGAGTCCTAATGTAGGAAGATTATAGTGAGTCCTAATTTGTGTAGAACACTACACAAATGCAATTATATAAAACTTTTTGGCCATACACATTTGTCAATGTGTGAGTGTTATCTATTTTTTGTGTGTGCATCGTATGTACAGGTATGACTTTTTTTCACCTGAATTATTATTTTTATACATGACTTGCATAAAGATATTTGTAATGGGATACACTGCTAATGATACAGTATACTGGGATGTGGATTGGAAGATCCAAGGTTTAAACCCATGATGCACTGTTGAATATGCTCTGCACATTCAGTTGTGGTTTGCTTCAATCAGTTCTACTATTCAGTTAAGTGTAACCATGTAGGTGGCAAGTGCTGCTTCTACCTGGTTGACGTTTCTCCGATCAGCAGTTCTAAATTAGACAACTATGCCTCTATGTCTTGACGTGTCTGATCTTAGCATTTAAATCTTTTGTCATATCAGATGTTATTCAAATTAAAAAATACTAAATACCTAAGTATAGAGTACATTTGAATCATCTCAAATCCATTATGTCATCTTGACCCCTATAGAATACGTCCGAGATGAATTTTATGATACTTATATGATGATAAATAAAATAGTGTTAGTATGATTCTATTAAGATTTGGGTTTAAGTTTTCATGTTAATTATACAAATAAATAACTAAAAACTGATATGAAATTTATCTCTAGAGTGAAATATTCTCCGTCTAATTTTCTCAGTTTCTACTTCCATTTTTTTGGTGTATTCCAAGAAGAGCATGTTTTAGCAAGCTACAGATAGATTGGTGTCATTTTTTTTTAATGGTTTTTCAGCTGCTGAACAGGAAGATACACATAACCTGGCAAGTCTATTGAAGAATGCTTTAGGATTATGAGCAAAAATAAGAAGAAAGAAACACCTCTTCTGCCACAGTTATTCTGCTGTAGATTAGAATCTGTGTGTGTGTGTGTGTGTGTGGGACCAACTGGCTCATTGTCTTCATCTTGTTTCACAGCTAATATTATCATACTGTAATAAAATAGACACAATTACTTTGTAAATGATTTCAAGGTTGTACACATTTGTCTTCAGTTCAACATTATCTTTTTGAATTGCTACAAACAAAAATGTAAAACTTTCTTAGATCTGTAATAATTAAGGATTAAATTAACAGTATATTTTGCAAGAGTCAGTGTTTGTCTTGTCTTGTAAACACTTTATTATAGAGTACTGCAACAAACCTTCACTTATCCAAAGCAATTGAGAGAAACCTTCATCTTTTGATAATCAATAACAAAGATCTATGTACAGTCATTCTGATAATGGTTATAATGTTGAATGAGTTATCATAATCAGAAAGATGCCTTAATCCATATTCATCATCAAAGTTTGTCTAACTTGGTATTGGTACCAGTTTCAAATCTCTGTATTATAGTCCTAACTCTTCTGTTGTAGCATAGTTTGAAATGAGCCCTTCCATCTATCGGGTGTATATAATACACTGTAATGACGTGGTGAAGCTCCAAAATCGTACAAGGTAGTTTGCTTTCTTAATTTGCAATAGAAATGCACGTTGCAGGCCCTTGAAATCCTAAAACGTCTCATTAAATGTACTTAATAGAAAAAAACTATGGATAAGAAATAGTTTTTCACGTGAACTTATACACCTTAAGCACCTATGTTTCAAGTCTCATTAAATGTACTTAATAGAAAAAGAACTATGGATAAGAAATAATTTTTCATGTGAACTTGTACACCTTAAGCACCTACAGCGAAAGAAGTGGGCAAGTGATATGATGACCAAGCCTCTGGACTTTTAGAAGACCGTATTGTTCTCAGACGAATCAAGATTCGCTCAATTGTCGGACAGTGGAAGGATATAGGTCTGGAGAATGCCTCACCAAGAGTTTTGGCTCAACAGATTGCAGCCAACTGTGAAGCATGGTGGTTTCAGCGTGATGGTTTGGGGAGTTGTTTGGGTTGGTGGGAGATCGAGCTTAGTGGAGTGCGTTGGCAACATAAATTTTGCAAAATACGTCGAAATATTGGAGGAAGAACTCTTGCCACTTTATTCCTCGCGTTTCGTGGACAAGAACACAACGTTATTCCAGGAAGCTGGAGCACCGTGCCACACTGCTAGAAACACCCAAAAGTGGCAGGAAGAAAATGGTATCCAGAAGTTGCCCTGGCCGAGCCAATCTCCTGACATGAACTCCATCGAAAACCTCTGGGCCATACTCGACCGGCAAGTCAAGAAACAACCAAAAACACCAACTTCGAAGAGCGATCTACTCCAAGTTTTGAAGCAAGAATGGGCGAAAATCTCACAATATAAAATTGACGAGATGATTCTCACGATGCCCCAAAAGGTGAACGAACTTCACGAAGCGAAAGGAAAATCTACTAGATATTAATTAAATTACAAATATATCAATTCATGTGAATATGACTGAAAAATTTCATTTTTACTGAAAAGGTGGTGTCTATTTACCTGTGACCACGCTGTGTGCATCAAACTACAACTAGAATAAATAATAATAACTTGTGGCTTTTTTTGCTCTTGAATTTGTTATATAATTTATAATGTTAATTCATCCCACCATTCTCATTCACCCTGACTCTGATCTCATTAACCCATGGGTGAACCATTCACCCAGTTGAGAAGCACTGATCTAGAACTTGGTGACATACAGAAATGCACCAAACTGTAATTATGGCAAACAAACATAAAGCAGAAATTAACCAAAAATTATTTCTGTATCAATTCTCTCTTATTAGTTATTGTATGAAAGCTGTAAACTGAAATTTTTATTATTAGCAGACTGACAATCGTACCAATGAAAATAACATATTCTTAAATGTTGTAAACTTCTACAGGCTGGTCATGGTCTAGAATTAGCGCAAAGGGTCCAAGATTAAAGACGCGAAGCTACTGAACGTGTTCTGAATTTTCAGCAGTAAGCGCGATTTTCGAGTTAAAATGCCCTCGTAATAGTGGGTGCTGCTGTCTGGCTGTCCTCCCTCTGATCAATAGTTCAAAATCAGAGGTGGCTATAGGTGAACCCTAGGGGTCTAACCTGGAGCCCTCCAGTGGCTCATCGCTAAATCTGAACATGGAATGGTATGTCTTCTGAAAGTGGCACAGCGGTATGTTTGCAGACTTACAGTGCTAGAAACTGTGTTTCAATAACCGTGGTGGCCATAACACAGATGGCCCATTGTGTAGCTTTGTGCTTAAAACAAACAAACTCTAACCTGATTGTTCTGTCTATAAGGCGCCTTTGAGGTTGAAAATTCCAATTTAATCTTCTGGTAAGAATTGAACAAAAATACAGCAAACTCTAATTTATTAAAATGTATTAATACCATTATTCATTTCAAATGAATAACTAAACTGTTTGAGTGCAAAGCTACATAATTGGTTATCTGTGCTCCGTTCACAGCGAGCGAGGAATCGAAGTTTGATTTAAGCAATGTAAGTTTATTTACTTACCACTAACACACCGAGGATTAACTGAAATTAACAATTTTAATCTTTATAAATTAATAACTCGGATGAAAAAATACGAATTAACCGTGCAGCAGTTCCCACAAGGGGAGATGGGGTCGCAGAACAATACACAGTATAACTTAACCATTTGTTTATATTAGAATAAAAATAAATATTGTATAATGTTTTTAAACAAACAAAACAGTAACACAAAACTAAATAATAGTAACTCCCTTCCCAATTTAGCATGGGTCCCAGAAAATTGCCTGGCTGCTGAAATGGGTCGTGGGTTGGACATGGCACAGAAAACTGTATAGCTTTGCGCTAAAAGCAAAGAAGAACGTTTATTTTGTTTGTTGTTGAAATGCAAGGAAACGTCAGATATCATGAAGTTCGAAACGTGCAGTTTGACGATATTTGTACCTGCTATTAAGTACACACTTCGAGGCATAATAAAGCCTATGTAAAAAATATACGTTTATAGATCCTATTGCTGTAGTAAATAATATATATATACACCTGGAAAAAAGTTAAGCACCCCCAAATATTTTTCAGG